ACTGAGCACGAGGGTTGGAGGTGCATTCCTGACAATACGGGGCCCGTCTCTCCTTGTGTTGCCAGTGGAAGTCATCCAGTCATAAATATTGCATTGGAAATAAATGGGAAGACTTTAGTTCATTAGGCACAATATAGTCCTTTAGATCTTCATTTTAGAAGAGTAATTACTCTGGGGTGTGCTAAATTAAAGCCACACCATTTCCTAATTCAGGAATACTGTCATTGTCATTTTCACCATGACACTGTGTTGGTGGTAGAGTAGGTGGTGGTCATATGTGCCAGGTCTGCTAGTGCCTTTTTTCCCCTAGATTGACTCAGTGTCACCAAAAAGACATAACATCCAGCCCAAATGACTTGTCAATAATAATTTCCACACAAACATATAAAAGATATTCCATGGTATATGGCTTTTTTTTCGAAGTGCCTTTTTTTGCATTTTCTTGTGATATTTCTTAACATCTACCAGGCATTCTGTGTGACATGCTCATGCCAGGAGCAACAAATCCCCAAACTCTGCTATCCCCAGGATGGAAATAACAAGAATGGCAGTCCCTACATTTTAGCTCTCAGGCTCATTATAGATGGAGAGTAAGTTAATATAAATAGTGTGTGGCACACAGTGTGTAACATTTGGGGCTGGCCCACAGGAACTGGTGTTTGAGTGTGGTGGGCAGTAAAAACCAAACCAGAGAAAGGGGCAAGTAAGTACAGGCTGTGCTGAGGGGACATGAGTCTACTACTTTCCATGGTCCTATGTGCCCATATAGACCAGGAGCAGTGGGAGAAATTGCTAGAAAGACAGGTGGGAACCTGGCTGCACAGAGCCTTGGGTGGCAGGCAGGGGAGGCCAGCCTTCATCTGGGAATCAGAGGGAGCTGCCAGAGACAGCCAGAAACATGATGAGAGTCACATGCTGAGGCTTCTAGAAGGAATGTGCTGAAAATGTTCCACTTAAAAGCTAAATTGAATATGAAGGAAAACTGAAAATAGTGTGATTGACCATCCAGTCATATAAATTGCTTTTTATTGACAGATAAAATTCATCTAAAGCACAACTACCTTCCTCCTGAATATAAATATCCCATGTGAATCAAATCAAGAAGAAGAGAGTAATAGAATTGTTACTGTTCTGAGAGATAGGAAGTAAGATGGTACAATAAACCCTGACTCTTTGTCACTTCTAAATCCTAAAATGCATATATCCCACGACAGCATGTAATTCTTACCTTAAGATGCAAAGAAATAGGCCATCATCGGAGCGGCCACCCATGCAGCAGCAAGTTGCGAGTTACAATGCCACTTGGAGATGTGTCTATGGAGTCCTCAGCTGTGCCCACCTGCTGCGGGCCACCCCTCACCTGCCTGGCATAGTGCAGGCCACTCACTCTGTGCCTCAACAAAATGACACCCAAAATTCTTGTCATGGAGTCCCTTTAAAGTCATCCTTTAAAACAACAACAACAAAACACCTTTCTCTAAAGTGAGCTTCAAGTAAGCCTAATTCTTTTGCTTTGACCTCATACAACAACACCCAGACTGCCCTCCCATCACAACAGAAAAAAATCCCTGGCCTCATATTCTTGTTTCACTGACATCCCATCTCCTAAGAGTAAGAATTAGGTGTGTCTGTCTGTCTGTCTCTCTGTCTGTTTCTCTCTCTCTCTCTCTCTCTCACACACACACACACACACACACACACACACATTCGTTTTTTAACTCCTTTTAAGAGTCATGTGGCCACCCAAAAGCTTTCTGTGTCTCAAATTTTGTCTGGAGCATCAACTGTAAACACTCCCAGTTGGCCCTGACTGCCTCCTCACCAGGCCGAGTAGCTTAGAAATGCTTCTCTTCACCACCGCCCTCTCCTCACCATTGTGGGAAACTTACTGGAAAGCCCTCAGGAGTCCCTAGTTATGAAGGTGGCAGAACCAGCTCTAAGTGACCTTGGGTACCTGGGGTTGGTTATGAGAACAGGAAGAGGGGAGTTGCTTTAGGTCAAATTCAACTGCAAGTGGCTTTTCTGAGTTTATAGACCTAAGTCAGCCGACTATTGTAAATTAAAATGCATATTGTAATAGACATCTGAGCATATTATAATTGACATCCCAGGTAAGTAGTCCCTAATGAAATGTTATATTTAATGGCTAATTCCAAAATTTTGAAAATGCTAAATTGAATCAAGCATTAACCATGTTTTCCTCATGTTCCACTAATCCAGTATTGGGAAGTGACTACTTTTAAATTAAAATGTTAACTGACAGAGTCCTTATCATCTCACATTTTCCATTAGAACCAAGCACATCTATAATAAAGTGACACTCATCTACCCTAAATTCTATGGATATTCCCTAAGAAAGAAAAGAAACATATCTGGCTACTGTGCAGTTCACTAACAAGAGAGAAGGAAGATGAACCAGAGCCAGAAAGCAGGTGGCCCAGCCTGAACTCCGGTAACCTGGTTGGTTCTCAGCCTCTTAAGAAAAGACCCAGCCAGACACAGCGGCTCATACCTCTAATCCCAGCACTTTGGGAGGCCAGGGCAGGTTGATCACCTCAGGTCAGGAATTCGAGACCAGCCTGGCCAGCATGGTGAAACCCTTTCTCTATTAAAACTACAAAATTAGCCAGGTGTGGTGGCACATGCCTGTGCTCCCAGCTACTTGGGAGGCTGAGGCAGGGGAATCGCTTGAACCTGGGAGGTGGAGGTTGCAGTGAGCCGAGATCATGCCATTGCACTCCAGCCTGGGCAACAAGAGTGAAACTCCATCTCAAAAAAAGAAGACCCCAGAATAGTGCAAATGTCTTTCCTGGGCCAGCCCAACCAAGCATTCCTCTCACGTCATTATCCAAACCTCGTTTCCTCCTGGGTGTCCTTTCTGCAGTCATCCACCACCTTTTTAAAAACTTACAAGGGGAAAGCCTCCATCTATTGGAGAAGAAATCTGCTGTTCCAAATATTTTATTTTAATCTAAAGAGCTTCTCCAGATGAAACCATCCTTCTCACCAACCCAGTGGATCCCAGTAACCAGGGCTATAGGTCCTGCAGGTAGGAACAGTGATCCCAAGTCCCAGGAGGAAATGCAGCTGATGAGACTTTTAAAATTGCTTCCATTGCATTTAGAATTGGGTTTACTGGGCTACCCACAGCTATTGGTCTTTTCTTAATGGCTGCTTTCCTCTGGCAAGTGAATCTGGCCTGGGGTGTCAGGTAGAGGTCTCAGGTGCAATGCAGATAGTAGGAGATATGCAGTGTGATAACATGAACCCATTTCATTTCAGCTTAAGCAAGCTCACTACCAAAGCTCACAGGAGCTTGCTGTTTTCATTGTCTTATCCCAGAGCTGCTTGGCCAGAAAGGAATTCAAAGTGAAAGTGAAAGATTTCGTGAGAACATGGCCTAAATGTAGACCGGGAGGGCATTTCAAAGCACAGTGTTTTTGACAGTCAGAATAGGCTCTATTAATATTTTTACCTCTGTAGCTTAGGGTAGACTCCAGAGCCAGGTATAAACTGCCCCCTGCTGCCTGACATAGAGCAGTACATGAAAAATGTTTTCCTCATGAGTAATTATAGTCTGAAATGCCTGTAGGAATGGAAAGCAAATTAGGGGAATGGCAGGCAGTCTCAGAGAAGCCATGGACATCACGGGTCAGTTAGATCCTCTCCAGTGTGAAGACGAAGGACAGGTGAGAGAGCTGGAAGCAGCTCTTATAAAAAGTAGTCTTCGGATTTAGAGAGCCTCTTACTACTCCTTCTGTAGCCTTGCTTGTCAGAGTGTGGACTGTGGTCCAGTAGCATCAATATAACCTGGGAGCTTCTTAGAAATGCAGATTCTCAGGCCCACCCTGGATCAACGGAATCAAAATCTGCATTTTAAACAAGATCCCCAGGTGATAACACATATTACATATAAGAAGCCCTTGCTGGATGCGATGTCTTATGCCTGTAATCCCAGTACTTTTGGAGGCCCAAGCAAGTGGATCACTTGAGGTCAGATGTTCAAGATCAGCCTGGCCAACATGGTGAAACCCTGTCTCTACTAAAAATACAAAAATTAGCTGAGCATGGTGGCAGGCACCTATAATCCCAGCTACTCAGGAGGCTGAGGCAGGAGAATCGCTTGAACTTGGGAAGCAGAGGTTGCAGTGAGCCGAGATTGTGCCACTGCATCCCAGCCTGGGTAACAGAGTGAGACTCAGTCTTGTTTAAAAAAAAAAAGAAGAAGAAGCCCTGACCAGGCACAGTGTCTCATGCCTGTAATTCCAACGCTTTGGGAAGCAGCTTGAGCAACATGGTGAAACTTCATCTCTACTAAAAATACAAAAAATTAGTCAGGTATACTGTGCACACCTGTGGTCCCAGCTGCTGGGGAGGCTGAGGTGGGAGGCCACCTGAGCCCAGAAAGCAGACGTTGCAGTGAGCTTAGCCAAGATTGTGCCACTGCACTCCAACCTGGGTGACAAAGTAAAACTCCATCTCAAAAAAAAAAGCCCCAAACATGACTTCAGAAGGAGCTTTAGCCCTGGACCAGCTCCAGAGTTCGCTAAGGTTTGGATCAAATTGAATTCAGCTTGAACAGTGAAAGAAACACAACCTAATAAAGGGATGAATCCTCAAGTTAAGATTGTGAATGCCTTATGTTCTTATTTTCTAAATACTTCTTTTTTATCCATCCTCACATGTCACTAGCTCTTTAACCATAGACACTTTAACTTGCTGTATTTTATATTACTTGCTATATTTCAGCAGCATCCAGCACTTGCCAAGCAGTTTTTTTCAAAAATCATTCTGTCCCAGCAAGTGGATGACAGGAGCCTGATCTGCTCTCTGGCAGCCTCTGTGCTTCCCATCATCCTTGTTTACTTCAATCTTCTCTCTGCCTTGCTTCCACCCTGCTGTTATTAAGAGTAGCAACTTGAGCAAGTCTGCAGGATGGAGCTGGCCCCCAGTGGCATTGTCAGTCTGTTGCTAACCTGGAGTGTTCTTTTCTGCACCAGGTCAGAGAAGAATGCCGGCTCCTGAACGCCCCACCTGTTCCACCCCGAAGCTCAAAGCCTTTGTCCACCAGTCCCTCCATCCCACCTCGCACAGTCAAGCCAGCGCGGCAACAGACTCGCTCTCCCAGCCCCACCTTGTCCTACTATTCTTCAGGGCTGCACAGCATGTAAGTCTTACTGCCAGGTCCCACTGCACCCTTATCTTCTCATCTGCCAGTTAGTTCATGGGTCCTTGAGAGCACTTTCAGGGTAGCTATAACAGACAGGGTGGTGGGAGAGGAAATGGCTTTTTAATTTTTTAAATAATTGTACTGGGTGAGCATGATGGGGCCTCTGTTGGTTTTGAGCTAGGATGGAAGAGCAAATGTCTTGGGAAGAAAAGATGTCACGTGAATCTGAGAAATTCAGAGGTAAAGGCCAACTAGATTCTCCCAGAAACAACCTGGGCGCTGCCATCAGTTCTCACAAATCAACATCTAGTTCTTTCTGCTTTGACTTTGACACAAGCAGACAGCACCTTTGACCAGGACCTAAAATGGAAAGGGTCCCCTTGACTATCTACTCTGAATTTCCATCCAGACAGGAGTCCCCTTTTGACCATCAATGTTGGGTGGTCGTTTCCTCCTGTCCAGATACCTCCAGCACTCTGAGCTCCTTCTTCTGCAATATGGCTCATTCCATTGTTGGCAACTACCAGTTCTTCTTTTAAAAATAAAGCCTTTATTATATTGAATTGAAATCTGTCTCTATGTAACTTTCAATCATTTCTTACATCTAAAGAAACAAAAATAGGTCCATCCCATATCTCTTTGTCGACTCATGAAAATTCCGAGTCAGCTTTGATATAAGTCTTCTCTTCTCCGAAAGAAACATCCTCGCCTCCCTCTGCTGTTCCCCCGACATCACTGTCAGATCCCTCACCGGCCTGCTCACCTGCCTTTGAGCACACTCTAGTTTCATGTTGCTCTTAAAACATGGCCCCCCAGAGCTGAATCCACCGCTCCACATGTGCTCATTACAGTTAAAGTAGCTCTCTTTGGAGGTATTTTTGCCCTGGACATTTAAATCCTTGTGCTAATGTTACTTGATTGTTCAGAAACAATCTGAGGCAAGGATAAGCATTTTATTGGAAGCATTTCCTCCTACCTCAGACTTTTAGATGGAAATAGAGTCGTGGTGTGATGCCATCATGTCACTGTAGCACAAGCATGGCAAGCGTGCAGCACCCATTTACTATTCTCTCACTCTACCTTTGCTCGCTGCAGACATCATTCATCAATTATGGCACCTGTTGGTGCAAAGCCCACACATGACTTAAGAATTTCCCTCATCATAAAGACTCAGACACCTATTAACAATGATTTCCTTACTAGCCGAAATATTTATTTTATCCCCACTGTAGCATGTTAAATCATTATGTACATATCCACAATTACCAACGTATTTTATTAAAGATTCTTTTTAAAAAAACCTCAGTGAAGTTAGAAGGTACTTTATTGAATTCATGTTAAGAAATACTGTTTTTTTCCTAACTGCACTTTTCTACTCAGCAGTAACATCTATGAATAATGAAAGCCTTGGGATTTGGCTTTTTTCTTTTAAAGATTTCTCTTTCTGTGTTTGCTTTTAAGCAGCGTCACTAAAACTGACACAAGTCCTTCTGAAAGCGCTCCTGTTTCCTGCTATCCATGTATCCGGGTGAAAACTGATTCTGTGGACCTGAAATCCCCATTTGGAAGTCCTTCTGCTGAAGCTGTGTCCTCTCGGCTCTCGTGGCCTAACCATTATTCAGGAGCCTCAGAGAGCCAGACCAGGAGCGACTTCCTGCTGGATCCAAGCAGGAGTTACAGTTATCCTAGACAAAAGACGCCAGGTACACCAAAGAGAAACTGCCCAGCACCTTTTGATTTTGATGGCTGTGAGCTCTTGGCCAGCCCCGCTAGCTCAGCCACTGTAGACTTCAGTAGCAGCATCTCTGGTTGTCCCAAGTCAGCCAGCTACTCTCTGGAGAGCACAGACGTGAAAACTCTTGCAGCTGGTGTGACAAAGCAGAGTACTTCATGCCCTGCCTTACCCCCCAGGGCCCCAAAACTAGTGGAAGAGAAGGCTGCCTCCGAAACATCTCCTTTGCCTCTGAAAATTGATGGTGCTGAGGAAGACCCCAAGTCTGGGTCACCAGACCTCTCCGAGGACCAGTATTTTGTTAAAAAGGGCATGCCGGACATCTTCACTGCCTCCTACCCTTTCTCATCTCCACTCCACCTCCAGCTGGCCCCCAGATCCTGTGGTGATGGCTCCCCATGGCAGCCACCTGCTGACCTATCAGGACTCTCTATAGAGGAAGTATCCAAGTCACTGCGGTTCATTGGTTTGTCCGAAGATGTCGTATCATTCTTTGTTACCGAAAAGATTGATGGGAACCTGCTTGTTCAGCTAACAGAAGAAATCCTCTCAGAGGATTTCAAACTGAGCAAACTGCAGGTGAAGAAGATAATGCAATTCATTAATGGCTGGAGGCCCAAAATATAGCCAAATAACCCCAGCCAGCATGGAACAAAACTGATCAATGTGTGTGCTAGAAGGGGTGGGCTGGGACACAATTTCATGTTTTTGCACTAAAAACCTTCTCTGTAAATAGGGATAAGAGAAACTCTTACTATGCAGATTCTGTTTTTGAATGGTGAACAGGCTATTTTGTACATCAATAAAAATGCTATACAGAACACTTGGAGGTGTGCCTTGTACGTCACTCAACAAACACTCAGCAGCTGCTAAAAGAAAAAAAGGCATATGCAGAGAAATCATTCTTACCCAAGTAGGTTTATGTGAGAAGGTATGATATTTATTACAAAATAGCCAAAGCTGAAAGACATAAAAATCTTAAAAAAAAAAAAAAAAAAAAAACGCGTTTGAACAATTCCCTTCTTTCAGGAGGGTTGACTTTAGACAATTAACTATGTTCTGTGCTCTGTCATTCGGATTGCTTCATGCTAATTGTTTTACTCTTGTGCCTGAAAATGTTAATGATATGAATTGACACTTTAATGTTATATGCTTGGTGGGGATCTTTTTATTACAAGGCATTTTCCAAAAGTCATGTGTTGATAAAGGGATATATGTTGTCCTTAGAAATCACACAAATCATGACCACAATAATTTATCTGTAACTGCTGCTAATTTTCTTGAGCAGAGAAAAAAGAATATACACATATAAATGTGTATAGATGTATACACAACACACCCCTATATATTTTACACATAATTTTGATTATGATATTTAGATAACATCTGTTCACTTTTAAATAATCCGTTGAGGTTTGGGAACTGTTAACTACATTGATTCTCTTAGGAAGAGAGGACAGAATGACTCCAGAGATTCTCAGAACCCTGTCACTAGAAGCTCAGTCTCATTTGGGTTCACTGAAAACTTGGAACAAATCAGTAAAGAGTCCTGTATTGAAGAATTAAGTTTGAGTTTAAGCCCACTGCAAGGCTGGTTTTTGCATGTAATACTCCCATTACATCTGGGGAAATGACAATTTCTGTTGACTTCTAATTCTCGGGTTTGAGGGTCTCCTTCCCCTGGTGTCTGATGGTGAGAAGTCTGAAGAACATTTGTCAGAGCACATTACATTTCTCAACCTGCTTCATGCTTTACGAGAGCTCAGAAATCAGACACGCCAGCCTTTATTGTGTATGCTACATATGTTGAGTATTTTTTAAATACCAATAAGAGGACTTGTTTATTTCATAAACCACTTCTTCCCTCTCTTTCAAAGAAAATACATTTTTACCATACTTTTATTCCAAGAATTCCAGGACATTAGTCTGAGAATTTTTGCTAAATATGATTAAATATTCCAAAATATAATGGCATCATCAATATTCTTGACTTTTTTAGAGAATATATCTTAGGACTGTGTTAGTTCTTGGAGCAAGGCATCATCTACTCCCCCGCACCCCAAAGTCTGGCCCCAGATTCCAGATGTGCAGATGGCAAATGACCAAGGTGCACACAGTGCCCTTTGGAATAGGGGGTCAGCCAGCGAGGCGTCAGCATGACTTGCAGGATGGGCCTATATGTTACCATCTCCTCTTCCTTCTACCAAAATGAAAGACAAGACCCACCAGTCTAGTTTTATAGACTTGTGAAATGTGTCTTTATTTCTTGGCATTAGAAGAAAGATATTTTTAATCCATATCATGGTTTGGAGTTGAGGTGAATTGATACCTATTCTAATTTTCCATCTTACATCTCCTTTATCAAAAAGAAAGAGCATTTTTTTCTCCTATCAATGTAAATCTCCCAAAATGTAAATACTATAGGTAAAAAGAGTACCCTGTAAAATTCTCATACTGGAGCACCCTTCAAAAGTCACTGACAAGACGATGAGGAACTATCTGGTACTGCACTCATAGGACATGAGACCCATGAGACTTTCATGTTCTGAGAGCATCCTTCTGTGTGAGGGGGACTGCCAGACAAACCTAGCTGACTCCATCCTTTTTAAAACACTTAACACTCAGACACAGTTCTCAAACTCAGGAAGAAGGAACAGGGTTGGCTTGGGTTTACTATAAAGGTTGCCCATATAAACAACTGACTCCTTATAGTGTTTTTATTTCTTTTGTAAAAACTTTACACAAAATAGGGTTTTAAATACTTTTTATTTTGAACTTGGCATATTTTTATCAAGTTTATATTGATTGGCAGTGTGGAGACTCCTTGAAAGCAAGGACTGTGGCCTTTGATTCACTTAGCATGAAACATTCTAATATCATTCTACACTTCTGAGTAAAAGACACAGCCCCTGCCCTCTTAGAGATCATATTGTTTATATTTGAAATCTCAGTTGCTAAGACTATATATTTGTGGGTAAGAAAGACGTGAACTCCTCTGGGCAGCTGGGTATATGGAGAGTTACGTGTGTCCTGTCTTTAAAATGTTAACCTCCAGTAACACTCCAAGATCACTAAAACTTGCAATGTGTGGGAGTCAGAAAGTATCTCTCTCACTGCCTAGTGGTGGTGGTGGTGGTGGTGTTTTTTTTACTGACTTGGAATTCTTTTAATTGTAATAAATATCTTCTGTCATCTCTAAAAGCCACAAATAAATGAAATTGCCATTCCTAAGCTGAGTACCTGTCTGTGAAGAACTGTGGCACCCTGACTAGATAAAGCATTCATAGCTCCAAGAGAATCATAACAAGATATGCAAGCAGGGGTAATAAGGAGACAGCCCTTCCCTTTCCAGAGCTGCGATTGTGCAGTGAAAAGCAATGCCCAGAGATCCACACACAGAACCTTTCTAACCAACCAAGTCAAGACTTATCATCTTATCTCCTCTGACAGGCCCCCTATAATCAAACAAGAGGAAGTGTCTGTCTGTAAGACCCTTTTGGGTCCTTAGATTCATGGCAAAAATCATCATGGCCCCCATCAGAAAAGAAAATCAGCAATAAACCAAGCCAAGCAGCTAAAAAGTATAATGTGGACCTAACTCATGTTGAGAGGCAGAATTTGAACACTCACAGATTAATCTTGCAAGTTTTCTCTTCTTTAAGTTGAACTGCTAAATTTTATGAACTGTGAAATTTACTTACATTCTTTCAACCCACATATATCATTGCAGTTTATGAAGTTGCAGCGAACTGCCCATTCAGCTACATTGCAGTGTTTATTCTTGTCTCATGTCGAAATTCAACAATCTTATGGGAAATATTATGACAGTCCATTCCAGCTGTTTTCAGATGCATGCAAAAACAGCCTCTGCTCACATTCCACAGCCACCTGCATGTTATCCATACAGTTCCCTGAGAAGTCGAAGGGTGGAGGGTGGGGTATGGAAGGATGGAGGGTCCTTCATTTTCTAAATGCTTTGTATAAGTCACCATTCGTTGTGCCTAACAAATATAAAATTAACATTTTGAATAACAAACTGGAAAACAGTCCTCCAAAGAACCTAGTGAACTGTTCAAAGGAAATTTTAATTTCAGTCTACCAGGAAAGTTAAATCTGTTGTTGGGCATAGGGGGCTTTCAGAAACATGACTCTTATATCAACTTCCTCTATCTTTCAAGTTACCTAAAGGCATTAGGCTGCTTGAGCAAGAAGAATAAAAGGCCTAGAATGCAAACTACAGGAAATAGAGCTTTTAGATTGTGGGATGTTAATATGGGATTCTCATGGTCACATCATGTTAAATCACATTGTTTAGTCTTCAAAACTTAGTGTTTTAAAATTTATCTCATTGTGATAGCCAGAAACACGGAATAAACATGATTTCAGTTTAAATTATATACAAATATCTTCTGTAATTTTGCTGCTCTAATTTTTAGGCTATAGATTTTGTAATAGAGCTTATCAGATTGCGGATTTTCTTTGTTTACAATCTCATGTAGTAGGGCTCAGATAATTTCTTAGCTATAAACCTTCTATTCCACTCATACTGTTTCATTTAAAATATTTAAGCTAAGCCTAAAAATTGAATTCAATTAAGAATTTGGAGGGTTTATCTTAAATGGAAATGGTGTGTTCTTTTCAAAGAATTTTGTAGTGATCTTTACAGTTTCTTTGCTTGGAAAACTTGGGTTGTTAACTACCAGTTAACAGTTGCAGTACTTTCCAGAACATTATCTAATGGGCCCAATGTGTACCTCAAGATAAACACAGTATGTTATGTCTAAAAATTTCATTGTCTGTTGATTTAAATCGTTCTGAAGTGTCTATAATAAAGAAATTTTCAAAGTTGTTTTTCTTGCAGTTGTTCCTAAGTGGTCAGACCTAGTGCATAGTTTTCTAAGGATTTATTTCCCATCCTCATTGAGGAGTAGGCTACTTGGAGGGAGTCCCAATACTTGCAAGCCCATTCTGTGTTAATAAGAGATGGAAGACTATAGCTATTGTGCATGGTCAGAAGATGCAGGTACCCAGGTAACTTGATGGCATACAAAGAGGATCCAGTACCCGTGTGGTCAGGAGATAGAGCAAAAGATGAAATAGATGAACTGGAAAGCTAAAAAAAAAAAAAAAATCTGGTCCAAAGATAGTCGTCTCAATTAATTGTTCACAGTCAGTTACAGATCAAACTCTTCATTCTACTCTTTTCCCCACTCTCACTACTGCACTTCACTAATCTTAAAAATAAATAAATAAAAGCATACCTTTGAATGGGAAAAAGAAAGAATACAAATTCATATCTATTTGGCTTACGTACAATTTAACTTATGTAACTAGCATAAATAGCAGAGATTGCTGAGGTTACTAAAGAAAAGTTGAGCATTCAATATGCTGCAGGATCCACTGGGAAGTGTTATACAGAAGCTGGAGAATTGCAAGTGAAGTATGATTAAGAGAACTTTAACTGTAATCAAAATAGCATGAAATAGTTTCCCAATATGCCCAAATCTTTGTTTTACTAGACTAAAAGCATTCCCAAATCATTCATTCCATCTTATACTTAAGCCTTCAACCGTTCTTTCCTGTTTCACAGGGATAAGACCTGTGACTAAACCCATACGTGGCCACTTTATTGGATGTCAGGAATGTGTGCTAGAAGAACCTGTAGGCTCGACTTAGGTTGGCTGAAACTTCCCAAGATTATCTCAAGATTTTTAATATATTTTGTCAAGTAATACACACTAGAACATTTGACTCTCAAAATTAAATATTGCAAAGTAAATTTGAGTTTAGAAATAAGTTAGAATCAGGTGTCCTCCGATTCCTTATATATTTGAAGTTAGAAAAAGCCAAATCATTGAAAACAGTGCTGATTCAATTCTTATTACACTCAAATGAATAAAAGATGTGCTCAGCCCCTTCTTGCTTAGATGAATTCATGCACATCTTTCAGGATTTACTAAGGCTCATCTCCAAGCTGATTAGATTTCTTCACTCCTTTGCACTTACATAGCTCTCTCTGCATATCTCTGTCCCCTGGAAACCTATAAGCTCCCTGATATCAAGGCTTCTGTCTTCATTGTTGTGTCTTCAGAAGTAGGTACTATTTGAGGTTCTGTTGAATGACTGTGAAAGTCACATTCCTGATGGCGGCCAGTCTTTGTGCCATCAAGGTCAAGACTGCAGTCACGTGACAACAAAGTAAGATCAAATGAGTGATGTCAGTGAAGCTTGTATCATAAAATATCTGAGTGCCTAAAAATGGACAAAATAAAAACTTGTCTAGAAATTCCAGGTTGAGTTTGTATCACTTGCCAATGAATAAAATTTTTTTAGTTTATTTAATTCAATGACTTCCATTTGTTAATGGCTAAAAAAAAAAAAAAAAGGATGTGTTCCCATAGATTGACTCAAATACTATCTCTAAAAAACACATGCAATTGAAAAGTAATAGATATGGTTGAATGACCTAGGCTAAGAGTGATCTCAGGATCAGAGGCAGTGATGGGTTAAGATAAAAAACAGAGGCTAGGTGTGTTGGCACATGCCTGTACTCCCAGCGCTTTGGGAGGCCAAGGCGGGTGGATTACCTGAGGTCGGGAGTTCGAGACCAGCCTGACCAACACAGAGAAACCCTGTCCCTACAAAATTAGTCAGGCATGGTGGCACAGGACTGTAATCCCAGTTACTCAGGAGTCTGAGGTGCGATTTCAATTCTCCTGAATCGCTTGAACCCAGGAGGCAGAGGTGCAGTTAGCCAAGATCTAGTCATTTCACTCCAGCCTGGGCAACAAGAGCAAAACTCCATCAAAAAAAAAAAAAAAACGGTAAACAGATTCGGTGTGCTCAGAAACACATGGCCAAGAGACATGGTGCCAGGCTTGGAAAATACCATCTGTAGGCAGATCATAGAAGTTTAGGGACAGAGGGGACCTTGGAAATGATCTGATCCCTCCTCTTTATAGGAATGAAACCCATGGAGGATGAGTGACAGGCCCCGGACCTCATATGGGTCATGAAAGAACCAAGGCTAGAAATAAAATCTCCTGGTTCCCTTTTTTGTATTCCTCCATTACAACACTCTCTCCCAGTTTCCTCAGCTTTTAACTTTCAAAAATAACTATTATTATTATTATTATTATTATTATTATTATTATTTTAGTGCATGGAACGCCCTACTCTGGTCCTCCAACTTCTCTAAGACTAAAAAACAGGACAGTTCTCAGCTGATACTCCTCAGTCAGTATCAGTTGGAAATCAAAAGAAACCTATGTATGAAATGGAAGTTCTGGGTACATATCCTGCTCTTTGATAACAAGGATCACTCAATGGAGACACTAAATGAGATGAATGGGACAGAAAATGTAAAAGATTCACAGACACACATTTCATCCTACTATATATATATATCCAGGCTAGCTGCTAGGAAGAGTTTACAAACGGTGGCATCTATAAGAAAAGCAGCTCTGTAGTACTAAATATGACCACAAGGTGTGGAGCTTTTCCACCCAGCCAATGACTACCCAAGGATTACTCCGGTCAATTCTTAATGGAGTACAGTGGAGAGTCAGGGATTAGGAAAGAGTAAAAATTTCGGTCCAGCCATATTGGAGGTTTCTCTTCTCATCATTTACTTTTCAACTTTCCTCAGTTAGCCAAAGGCATTGGAATCCTAGTTATAGAAATGAATAAATAAAAGTGGCTCAAGGCCAGATGCAGTGGCTCATGCCTATAATCCCAGCACTTTGGGAGGCCAAGGCAGGTGGATTACGAGGTCAGGAGTTCAAGACCAGCCTGGCCAAGATGGTGAAACCCCACCTCTACTAAAAAAAGAAAAATTAGCGGGTTGTGATGGTGGGTGCCTGTAATCTCAGCTACTCGGGAGGCTGAGGCAGGAGAATCACTTGAACCCGGGAGGCGGAGGTTGCAGTGAACCGAGATAGCACCGCTGCATTTCAGCCTGAGTGACAGATTGAGACTCTGTCTCAAAAAAAAAAAAAAAAAAGTGGCTCAAGAAAGATAAGGGGCCAGGAGCAGTGCCTCATGCCTATAATCCCCAGACTTTGGGAAGCTGAAGTGAGTGGATCATTTGAGGCTAGGAATTCAAGACCAGCCTGGCCAACGTAGTGAAACCTCATCTCTACTAAAAATACAAAAATTAGTCATGCTTGGTGGTGGGTGCCTATAATCCCAGCTACTTGAGAGGCTGAGGCACAAGAATCACTTGAACCCATGAGGTGGAGGTTGCAGTAAACCAAGATTGCACCACTGCACTCCAGCCTAATCAACAGAGTAAGACATCTCTCAAAAAAAAAAAAAGAAAGAAAGAAAGAAAGAAAGAAAGATAAGGAATTTGAAGATGGAACACTATGTATATTTTCAACAGGTGTTCACTGGGGAAGGGAAAGAGTAGAAAACCGATCTTCATATGCCTTGCCACTTCTTGGTTCTAAGTCTGGGATTTTCTTTCTTTTCTTTTTTTATTTTTATTTTTCTTTATTTCTTTTTTTTTGAGATGGTCTCATTCTGTTGCATAAGCTGGAGTGCAGTGGTGCAATCATGGCTCACTATAATCCCAACCTCCTTGGGCTCAAGTGAGCCTCCACCTCAGCCTCCTGAGTAGCTGGTACTACAGGTGCGTGCCACCACACCTAGCTAATTTTTAAATTTTTTGTAGAGACGGGGTTTCAACATGTGGGCCAGCCTGGTCTCAAATTCCCAGGCTCAAGCAGTCTGCCCGCCTCAGCCTCCCAAAGTACTGGGATTACAGTTGTGAGTCAGCATGCCCGGCCTGTCTCTGGAATTTTGAGAGTGAATACAATTTTGAGAGTGAATACAATTTTGAGAGTGAATAGTTTGAGTCAGAAGCTCTTGAGTGAAAAGAAGTTGTACTTAAAAAAAAAAAAATCATTGGTTTGTTTGAACAATAAAACCCTCAACCTGAAACTAAATCTATCAAGTAACATTATGCTAAAACTGACTTTCAAGTTTTGATTGAGAGAGCACATCTCAATCCTCCTCCTTGGCCTTCCCAGTCAAACCATGAACCCACCTAATTGGCCGTGGAAGAAATGACAAAGAAAAGATACATCCTAACTAAGAAAAAGAGAGTAATCAATCTATAATTTTTGCATAAATGTTTTTGCCTTGTTCTGTGTGCCCTTTACTACTCTCAGGAACACAGTTATTGACAAAGTAAAGCAAGTCTCTTTTTCTTTTTCTTTTTTTTTTTAAAGAAATCTTGCTCTGTGGCCCAAGCTAGGGTGCAGTGGCACGATCTTGGCTCACATCCTCTGCTGCCCAGGTTCAAGTGATTCTCCTGCCTCAGCCTCCGAGTAGCTGGGATTACAGGCGCCTGCCACTGTGCCTAGCTAATTTTTATGGTATTTTTAGTAGATATGAGGTTACACCGTCTTGGCCAGGCTGATGTTGAACTCCTGACCTTGTGATCCACCTGCCTGGGCCTCCCAAAGTGCTGGGATTACAGGTGTGAGCCACCATGGCCGGCCACAAGTCTCTTTTTCAATTCGCCTTCTAAGGAGATGACTGATTTTTATAAATCCAGTAAACTACCAACAATTTCATTTTTCGTAGTTCAAGTTGCCATCTTGAAGCAGTATAATTGCCCATTAAAAGTTTTCGTGGCTGGGTGTGATAGCTCATGCCTCCCAAGCCCCAAAGGGACTACAGGCATGAGCCACCACGCCCAGCCATGAAATGCACTGTGGAAGGCCAAAGCAGGCAGTTCGCTTGAGCCCAGGAGCTTGGGATCAGACTGGCAACATGAGGAAATTCCATCTCTGTCCCCAAAACATACAAAAATTAGCTGGGCATGGTGATGTGCCTTGTAGT